TAATGAAAACCTGATTTTTGAAATTAAAAACTTCTATCCTTAATTTTGAAATGGTGATACTTAAATACCTTATTTATGTATTGTTCCCATTTTATTACCCATGAAATTTTTTGCCGTTTTATTTTTATTTTTCTTAATATGATTGATGACCAAAATTTTATTTATTAATTAAGATATTTTTAAAATTATTACCAACAAAAAACAATCTAGTGAATTTGAAAATTGTTGTTTTTATTTTTTTTATTTCTTTTCGAAAGAATTTTTAGTTAAAATATTTATTTTATTTAGTTTTACTACTTTATCTCACTATAGAGTTTTCATCAATAAATTTAATTAATAAAATGATTTATTATTATTATTATCGTGGAGAAAATCTAATTCGAATATTTCTTTAGTAAAATTATTTTGAATGAATGTTTCCAAAATTTAAAGGTCCAACCTAAAAATGGAAATATTAGGTAATCAACAGTCAGCCTCTATTTAGTTTTGCTAAAAATTAGGTTTTTAATAGATTTTGATAAAAAATTATTAAATATATGGTTCAAAACTTGATAAAAGTTGTGAGTCTCGTGAAATGTGTAATTAAAATTAATTATTTATTTTGACTTAAATGCCCTTGTTAACTTTGAAGTCTACCTTCCTGCATCATATTCTTCTCCACTTGAAAAGCACTTTGACTCGAGTGATAACGGCTCACAAGTTGGACAGTATAGTGGGAAGTATTCATATAAATCTGAGACATTAAAAGCAGGAGAGATCTGCAAGTCACAAGGAAGATCAATGACGTAGGCTTTGTCATTTATCTTCTTCTTAATGCGAAATGGCCCAAATTTCTTCTGTTGAAGATTGTGATACATCCCAGCGGGAAATCTGTTCTTCCTCAAATGCACCATCATGAGTTTTCCTTCTTTGAATTCTTTGAACTTTCTTTTTTTGTCAGCAAAAGCTTTGTAATTATTATTGGCTTTCAGTAATCTCTGTTGAATCTCCTTATGCATCTCTACAAATTGTTCAGCTAAGTTCTCAGCCTGCTTGCTCTTGAATTTAAGAAGTACAATCAAGTCTACAATGTGGTTCGATTCTTTAGTGTAAACAACAGAGAAAGGAGTATGACTTGTGGACCTGTTCACCATTTGTTAAAAGCAAATTCAGCTTGAGGCAAAGTTAGGTCCCACTGTTTATGGCTTTCGCCAGCTATGGACCGTATCATGTTGCCTAAGGTCCTGTTAAAATTTGACGAAGCAAGCAAAAGCTCTGATACCAAAATTTGACGAAGCAAGCAAAACTTAATAAAAAGTTAGCTAGAGGATGAGATCAATGATCCAATTCTCTAGAAGTAGAATCCAACACGAGCAAAAGAGTGTGAAAAATCTGCTTACCCAAGTAAGCAACAGTATACATAATGTAAGCTCAATGCTCTGATACC